GCAAATGATTGTGCCCATTGACGGACAAGGAGTGATGCACACATATTAAAGCCAAGGAAATTCCATCCGTACATAAAAAAAACTTTTCTACTGTGAGTGCAATCAAACATGGAAGAAAGATTTTCTAAACAGAATATGGAGATAACCAAGGTAGGTGACCCAGCTTAGTCTACATGACCTCAAGAAGTCTCTTACCCTCTTAGCCGTTCTGAGAATTGGGGTTTTATAACTTTGTGAAAAAAATTCTGCTATAGCTCAAACATGCCATTATCCAAGACTGTTTTGTAATCTGAAAGTCACAGATTCCCGAGTTTGGATCTTTATTTTGGCCATTTATCTATTCCCTTTAAACTAATGTCAAATATTATAGGATTTCTAAAAAGAATTTCCGAACTTGAATTTTAAAAGGGGTCCATAACAAATGATAAAATTATAAACAAGTTCAGATATTATGTAAAAGACAAAATACAAAGATAATTATTGAAACAAAACCAAGTTGGATATCACAAAGCCCTACTCTAACTATTTATTTTTTAACCCTTTCAATGTCAAAATTCAGTTTTGCTTTCAGCAGCTAGACTCCTAAAGTGGGCATTCCTGAGTCGTCTTTCTGTCTTTGATATAAAACATAGAATTCTTTTCTGGAGTGAAGGAAAGAAAAGTAAGGAGCATATTAAAAGTTTATTTCATGGTGCATTAATTTTCTGGAACTGGAAAAATTGAAAGGTTTGTAGAACCCCTAAGTTGTATAGCTACACAATTTGATTTTGTTTAAAACAAGATTTGTAGCATTCATCCTATTTCTATATTGCTCTAAGTATTTTCCTCATTTTTCTATCATAGAAAAAAAGCCAACCCACTAGAAATAGAAAACAAAATCCTGGTTCTTCTGAGGTAAGAAACAAAGCAGCATAAGGGGGTAGGATTTCATCTAGAAAATTATTGCTTTCAGTCTGATTAGCTCTTCAGGCAGTCTATGAATTGTACTTAGAAGTGGAAAGAATTTAGGTCACTTTGGGCATATATTCATTGAAATTCAGGAGGTTATGAGAAATATGCTTCATATATTCTCTGAAATAGGAGGAAGAATATTACTAAGGAGACTTTAGCGGGCCTATATATTTAAATAATTTCTGTAACATGTTAAAATAAACTAAAATTTCTTTCTAAGGTCAGTAAGAGGTCAGGTCACGTAAGCTGGAAGTATACTGCAATGAAGGTATGCAATTGGTAGAGGTGATGGTGGTGTGTTAGCTGATTTTTTTTTCTTATGCATGAAGATTTTTGCCTTTTAAAAACCTCACAAAATTACATAAAAGTGTTCCTGCCATAACAAGTTAGGTTTGAAATGTGGAACACTTATATGTGTATGCACATATATATGCACACACCTGGTTATTTGGCTCTCATTTAGCATATGGAGAATTCAAATTAAAATTTGGTTTACATTCTTTATGTTGTTCTTTATTGTTTCTGCATGGTGCTGTGTGCTTGCTCAAAAAACTCACTGAAAAAAGACTTTCTTTCCTAATTTTTACACTTAATGTAGAAATCCCTTCTTTAAGATCTCAAAAAAATTGTGTAGTAAGGATAGGCAGAGCAATGCTTATCACAGTCCATCTTTGGAAATTTTCATTAAAGGCATTTTTTATGAGTATATTTTTTATCTTTTATTACTAAAAAATACTATGTATTAGTTTTTCAGCTCTCCGAAGATCATAAATTATAGTAACTTTTTAAGTTATGCATTCTGAAATGAATATATTGATTTTGTCTTCATAATAATGATAAGACGAAAATTTTTCTTTCAATATCCAGGAATACAACTTAGACGGGCTATTTTCAAAGGCAATGCAGAGATGTCTTTTCCCAATTTCTGATTTCTTTTTTAAGTTGATAAATCTTGGCAACTGGGAAATTTAATATGTGATTGAAAAAAATACATATACTATGTCATTTTGGGCAGCTTTAAAGATAACAGCAAAAGAGTTTCTATCCAAGCAATTAAAATTATAAAAATATTCAGATTCAAATTCTTATTAAGTGTGATCATTTAGGGTTCGGGCTATGATTTCTGTCTGTCTGGAGATTTAAAAAAGGGTTTCTATCCAAATAATTAAAATTATAAAAAGACAAAGGTTCTTGTTTTATGTTCTAAGACATATAAAGAGTAGAAATTATAGCAATAGCATCATGTATAAAAATGCTTGATTGTTTTTCTATTCCTATTGTTTCTCTGTCTTATTACATTTTTTTATGTGTTTGGTTCACAGCATGGATAGGGATTGTTAATACTCAGAGAAAATGTTTGAGGGCATGGAACTTATTTCTATCACTGTTTGCCAAGTCAGCACAGCTCTATTACAGTTTGTTCCAACTGTAAACTGAAGACAATTAGAAGGACCCTGAGAAGCAATATAAAAATTTGAGAGGATGAACACTCTACCATGCTTTTAAGAAAAATGCTCTGAAGATTTATTACTCTTATAACCTTTATTGTGAGTAGTTGTCACTTTTTTTGCAGTTTAAATCTGTTTGTTTTCTCTTCCAGGATTAGTGTTTGTCTCTAACTCCTACACATCTACTTTTATAAAATGTCTTCTCAATATTTCCCTCCTGATCACAAGGTTGCTTTAAAACATTATCTTTTATAAAAAAATATGAATTAAAGTGGAAATGAAACAAAAAAAAATAACAAAAAAATCACAAAAAAATATTCTGTAACAGTTTACCATACCTACATCATGGCAAAATGTAATAAAATATTTAAATTAACACTTTTAAAACCTTAATAGTGATTCACTGAGTACCATTATGCATAATAAACATTGATTTTGCGTTGTCACATTTATTTAAACAAAATGTCCACACAATTTTAGCGTGTAATGCTTATATCTTCTGCATGTCACCTCCCCCTCAAACTATGAAAAAATGTAATATGAAGTGCTTTACTTCTCCTTTCCAAAGAAATCATAAAGTCATGCAATTAGAATGTAATTGGCCTAAGGTGAGGATCTTGAAAGCAGATCTGAATTGTGTTATCAAGACTCCTCCAGAGGCAGAGAACACTTAGCAAAACAATGGCTGGAAGATATTTTAGACTTTAGTAAGAGGGATGAGGTTTACAGGAGCTATAGCATATTATTTCCCAAAACAGGAGGTGCTATTGTGCAGGTCAAATATGAAAATTATTATCTCAGAGGAGGCAGAAAGGTGTTTACATAGAAGTAGGGACAGATCTAAAAATATCAGGCACATTTCATGTATTGTCACAGATGTTTTTCAAAGTATACATGAAGCATGGATATAACATCACACAAACATTACACAAAATGGGCAGATCAGAATACTTTGTAAAGGAACAAAAATCTTTAACTGCATTTTATTTTGGAGTTTTGTTTGCAAGTAATGTTGACCTCAAACTTAACAGGTCACAGCTAATACTATTGAATAATTTTTTTACCATATTTGAAGTGAATAAGGCAAAGGTTCTAAAGGCATTTGCAAGAGTTCAAAAAGTTTTAAATGCCTTTTTGGCACTTTGTGAAGAGTAAGAACAAAAAGCCATATTTAATTTAGTCTGTGCCTTTAGCTGAGAACTAGGGTAAAGAGGAAAAGTGTAGATGGTTTTTCTCTCTTTTTAAAGCATAAAAAGATTTAAAGTGGAATGTCTTGTTGGCTTTAAAATATATTATGTAGGGCATTCAACAATCAAATTTAGAGGCGAAACTGTTCGTAGTAGTATGTAACCATTTTATCATCAAAAAATTGCCCCTGTTTATAGATAGCTTGTTTTAAAACCTAGAATATGTGAACAGAGAGGTGAAAGCATCACCATAAAGAAGGGCTTCTGTGGTTGGTGTATATACAAGAGCACCCTGAAAATTGGAGGAAAAAATAAGGAAGCACGAGGAATCTAGTCTTAGTTTTTCTAAGATTATGCTCTAATTGGGATAAAAATGAAAAATATTTCTAATTTTGCACTGTGAATCTCAAAACAAAATACACTCACTTGCTCTAAGTTAGCACTTATGTATTCATTCATTTATTTATCTATACCGTAGTTCTGTTGGAAAGGTTTGCCAAGGAAAAGGAGACTTTACAAGCTAAGCAGATGAGGCATTTTGACATTTAAGCTATTAAAATGATAAAGAATATTTATATGCATTATCAAAATCTGTTGACTCTGTAAACAGCTGAAAACTTCGGGAAAATGTGTTTTCTACTGTGATTTCTGGTATATTGGATTGCACTTACTTTGAAAAATCACAGGACACAAGAGCTCAAACTTTCTATTTTAAAACTTGAGGGAATGGAAATGAGGCAGATTGAAAGGTTTTTCCCTCAAATTCTTTATTAACTCCTCAAGAGTAATTGTGTAGAGGATCTGGTTTTTTCCCCAATAATACTGCAAGCACTACAACTTTCTGACAGGAAGCCCAGACTTAAGACCAGACTATACTTTCCTTGTCATGTCTACTGCTTCTATTACACTTTTTCCTTTCATACATAAGAAAACACACACTTCTTCTTTCAGTGATGCTTAGCATTTTATTTCTTTCTGGTTCCCATTTTAAATCCCTTTTCTCCTATTTCCTTAGTTACATGAACAGTGAAGAGTGAATTTATTAATATTAAAGTTCCTCTTTTTCCTTAGGTTGTTCCCTTCAGTTTCATTTTCTCTATTGATTGCTAGGAAAACAGAACTTTAAAAAACCCTGTTTCAGTTAATTTTTATCAGGTTAAAGAGCATATAATGAAAGCCAGGTAAACAATAAAGTGATACAGACAGAACATTCACTTCTCATTTCCAGTAGAAGAAGTATGTTGTTTGAACTGCAGAAACCTCTATAGTTAATGAACGACTCACAATTTGTCAGAAATTTGTAAATAGCAGCAATATCCTTTTCCAGTTTGACATAACTAGAATGTAACTACCTTGTTTAACTAAAAAGAATGATGAATAGGTATTATATAATAAACACTGAATTCCAGAAGGAGAGGAAGAAGACTGATTTATTTTGTAATCATCTAGTTCACTAAATTCTTTCATATTTTGCTACTGTGATTCTGTAAGGTTTCAGTATCAGCCTCATTCCATGAATTTTTCTTCAGACAAAGTCTCTGTTTTTACCCATGAACCTGCATATTACAAAAAGAGACAGAAATTTGAAGTCAGAATTTTAAATTTGTAAAAAGCTTAAAAAAGGTGTAAAGATTAATATCACATGACAGATGATGTAACTCTAAACATGATGCCATTGTCAAAGGCAATGCTGCTTTGGAATTTTGAAACCTTATTTAAAAGAAAGGGAAAAAATGTGACTTAAAAAAACTTTATTTTATTCCTGCACTTACAGTGTTTTGTCCTCATAATCAAGAATGCTTATTTAAAAAGAAAACAAAAGTTCAACTAAAGACAACAAATACCATATACATATACATTCAATGTAGCAGTATGCAGTATTTGGACAAAAAGCGGGAGCAACTGCATTGTTCAGTGTTCTCACTCTCAAACCATAATAGATTTTAGGAGAGGTGTAATAGATTTGCTTTGCGCAAAAGTGTCTTCTGAAAATTCATTAAGATCTGTAAAGCCCTGGAAGGAAAGGTAATCTACATCAAAAGATAAAAGAAATTGGTCACCATCATCTGGCCCTAAGGCCAAGGGTCAGGACCTGGTGCATGTCCTTTCAGGTTAGTCCACTCTCAAACAACTCTGAGGTCTCTTCCAGGCTTCTCATCTGAATATTCTACACACTGTGATAAGTGGAGGCATGGCTCAACATAAGGTTTCAAAAGTGGTTTAATTACATAAACTCACTACATTATTGATATTTGTGATCATTAAATAAATTTTTTTCGAGGTGTATTAGCTGGGTAGTTATTAATCATATTTTGAACCAAATAACTGCATTAACAGACAGGACATTTTGGTTAGAGTTAGCTGCAATTACTCTAAAAACAACAGGAGTTTATTAAAGTACATGATTAGCATCTTCTGTTGTAGTGAGCATGTGCATATTTCCTTACACAGACTCTGTACTTATGTAGTAACACATAAAATCATTATCTCAAATACTATTTTAAAGAATGTGGCAAACTTGCACCAGAGAATTGAGACTCCTTTTTCTTTCACAAGTTCATTCTTGCAAAATGATTGTTTGTTTTGTTAGGGTATAGCTCCATGGGAAGAAAGCTGAAAAAAGAATGCTACAAATGCTTTTTGTAATTTAATCTCTCAGGATTAGGTGTTCATAGAGCAGGATTTGAAGGCTTTCTCTTGGCTAAACTCACTATATTCTCATCTAAATCAGTTCTGTTGCCATCATTAATTTCAAGAGAAACCAAGAGAGACTAATCTCAAGGAATTTCAAAACTCCAAATCCTGCAGTTGGTATTTCATTTTTAAATTCCTACTTGCCTGACTTTTGCTACCTTGATAAATATCCTGGCAAGCTCCTGCTTTTGTAGGCAGGAAAAGTTTTTCATTTGGCTTTTGCCATAGACTTTAAATTTAACACCTGATTGCATGTTGAAGGCAGTTTAATCAACATCTGGGCTATCTCAGGGTGTGAAAGGATTAGTTTAACTTGAAACCTTTAATTTTTTAAAACTTTCTGCAGGATATGGCTATAGAAACAATGGATGATGAGAGGTATATTAACCAAATCAAATTTTATTTGCAAAAATTCAACAAAACAGTAAAGTACATCCTCCTATACTCCTTACAAAATTCTGCTTTGATGCTTAGGTGCAAACCTCAAACCATTTGCTAAAAGAAACCCTATCCTACCTCTATACAAAATAAATGAATCTTTCTTTAGCTCTCAGCTCCTGTGGGAGTTTTCTTCAGTTTGAAACCTCATGTTGTAAGTCTCCTTCACATGCCAAAGAGCATGGTGATCTCTGTGCTGCAACCTGCTTCCCTAATGGCTTTGGCAATAGCCTCGCGACATTTTTAGAACAGGCAGCTTCTCTTTTACTGGCCGCATACGACAGCCAGTGAAGCTTTCCACGAGGGAAGAAACCTTTCTTCTAAACTCATGTAGTAATTTCCTCTAACATTTCAAGAGCTCCTTTGATCCTGTGACATACAATTATTTGCCTTTCCCACACAGTGGTTTCTTACCTGCTGGAGCTCATCCAATGTGCCGTGACTTTCCCAGATGTAAGTGTAAATCTTTCACACTGTGGACACTCACTCCTGCAGCAACACTTTTCTACCTCAGTATTCCTCTGAATGCCAATTAGGATGTCACCACCCTGATTTCAGATGTTAAACTAGAAAATATTTATCAGACTCTCTCTTTTCTGTCAGATAAATGTAAAACTATATTATATCATATAACATGATTTTTATCAATAATCCTAATCAATATCAACTAAGAATTCTTGACAGATCTTGTCCAATCATACAAACAATACCATTCAGTAATACTAATTTAGAAAATGTTGAGCCTTTTAATGCTCAGGGATCACAAATTACTTTAAACACTAATAGCTCAATAAATATTTTTAATAGAATATTTAAAATAAGACAAAGCTTCTGCTTTGTATTGGTATTTTAGCAAAGATTTTTAAGTCCACCATGATAACATTATATTATCACATATTATTCTGTGAATTCTGTGAACATTATATGTGGGGAGACTTGAAAGAGTGAGTATATCTAAGCTCCCAGTAAACCTATGGAGAAATTTTTCTTTAGTTAACTAAAAAAAGTTCTGCAGAAGAAGTTTAGAGCAACTTAAGTGTGCATGTTCCATCCTGGTATCTCATAGTATACTTTGTAAAATATAAATAATGCAATTTTTATATCCTCAGAACAAGAAGATCCATTACTGGGTACAAATTATTAGCATTTGAAACAGTTATAAAAAACGTGATTGTCAACCATATCTCTGAATTTATTTTTCAAGATAAATGAGGAGCGGGGGAAAAAAGGTAATTCAGAGGACTGAAGTGAAAGCAATAAATATCACGTATCTTTTCATGAAAGATAACAGGTCTGGAAGAAAGAATAAGCAGTTTCTTAAGGAAATATTCTTTCCTTCATCAGTCAGGCTGATTTACTCCAGATTTAGCAAAATTTTCAGGTATTTCATATCTAGAGAGAACAACTTTCAATTCAATTGAATATCCAGGTATAATTTCTGAAGCCTTAAATTCAGCTGAGTGGCTTGAACTGAAGCAGTGTCTGAGGTTTAGTATGTGTTTCAAAAATCTCAGGAATTCTGAAATTCCTTTTTCTGCCATTTATATTTTGTGTGAAAATTGCTGCTTTGCTTTAATTTTCCATGTTTCAGTTCCCCACAACCCCACACACACTCTATGATAAATGCAAGAATCTCTAGATGGAAGTATTCTATATCATTATAATGACCCTTCATTTGAGTTTGATTGGCTTTTATTAAGCAGCATTGTGAATGCTAAACTCCTAGTTGGATCCAGATGGAGATGAAGTGAACAGGAAGAATTAATTTTTTTTTCCTATTTTGTTTCATTATAAATTTTATCCTTAATTCAACACTGAAAAAAATGCAGCCTATGCAACAAAGAAAATCAGAATTCTTCCTTTCAGAAACTGGAATATGACTACTTCAGGTAAAAAATTAGAAAAAATTTGTTAACTCTTGAAGTGCGACTTCAGTACTTCTTTCTGAAAGATATATGTTGAGCAAATTTTGACCAAATTCATACATTTGGTCCAATAACATGTTTACATTATTCTTGATTTTTAAACATATCTGAGCCTGTGTGTCCCGGCATTTTTTGGTTAAAATACAAGATGAATTTGAGAGGAGGGTGGCAGTGAGACAGGGAGACATAGAGAGAGTGGAATGGGATGGACACAAGGGAAAACTGCTGTTGTATAAACTAATATCTATGCAAAGAGTTGCCTGGCCTTACTAATTTCTTTTCTGTTATAAACTGTGGGTCTATGGAAGGAAAATGAAAGTCATGTTAGTGCTCACTGCTACAAGAGAAGATATCCTAAATAAAACTACCCTGAACCTGTGGACATTTAAATCACCTAAACATATGTGGAGTTTTCTTCATGTTGACATTATTATTCCTCTGCTGAACTTAAGCACATGCTTATAGGATTTGCTTGCTTGGGGCCTGTGAGCATAAGCTGACCTTTTTTTTTTTTCTTTCAATTTGAGTGTGCATAAATATATGCAAGAAGTGTGTAATATAAACCAGTGCACTGAGTACAGATTTTTCATGGTACAAAGAAGGACATTTGCATAAATTTTTTTGTCAGTCTTTAGGATTTATATTTCAATTCTCTGATATATTGAGAATCTCAACATTTTAAAGAAAATTACTTCTCACTTAATTGTAATTTCCATAGTCAGGATTTTAATATGTATCAATCTTTTGCAAAAACTTATCAAGCCTGGGAGATTTATCTTACACACTTTAACGCATCCTTTTTAATTGCTAGTGTTTCTGAAAGATGCAATCATGTTTCTTTGGTACCATTTAATAAAATTAAACATATCAATCAGTAGCTTTTTCTTTCAATTTTATAACAGCTTTTGGAAACAAAGGCTGCTTGTGTCTGCTCTATTGTGTCCATGGGAAATGGTGAGAGCATATATTTCTTTCAAAATATATAACCTATCACAAACTGTCTATCTACAAAGTGCAGAAATATTTTATTAGCAACCTTTCTTGGCATAGTCTAGAAATTAAATGTTCCCCACATGAATGGGAGTATAGCTGTTCTGAAGCACTAAAACATAAACATACTGATGATATTTTGGTTCATAGGCACATATTTGGCCCCTTGCTGCAGACTTACTAAGCCTGAGCTTTGTGGCTGCCAAGCAAGAAACAGTGGCAAAGGGAGTTGAAAAAGGTAACTTCATATTAAGGTGGGGGGATAGAAGTAAACATTTTCCACATCTCCTTTAATAGAAGAGTCACCAGGCTACATTTTTTTTTTTATTAGCTAGTTCCTCTTCTCACTACAGGTCTTTTCAGTGTTCTGCTTTACAGCTAAAGTCCCTGAGACCTGACGTGGGATTTACTAAGCTTTAGATAACATAATCTCCATCTAATGGGAATTTCTGAAGCCAGTCACTAAGTCTATGAATTATTATAAGAGAAGAAAATCAAATTTAATATCAAAGAACTAACTTTAGAAGTTCAAGCAGTGGACAATATTCATTTTCCATTGACAGAATTGTTTAATAAGAATCTATCAGCAGTACAGGAAACACTAGGTACTCTGGCAATAAGTGAATCATGATGGCTTATTTCCTTTTAATTCTATGATCCCAGCTGGAACAAGGTGTGATTGGAGAATGGTTTAATTGTTCATAGACATCTGTCTTTGAATTCAATTGAAAAATAATATCCTGGGCATAAAATGGCCTACAGAATTTTTGACATTTTTATATCTTTCACAATCAAGGCATTGTCAGAAACTCAGGTAGTGGAGCTCTGAAAAACTTATGGATATATTTAAAGTAGAAGAGGATAAAACCCTGGTAATATATCAATATACACAGCTGGAAAGCAGATGTTCAATTGAGTGCACTCAGTTCTTAAAGAAAGCTATTAAAGCTGTTACTCACTCAAATGAGAAATTTCTATAATTTATTGTTCTCACATATTTGGTTTCCCTCTTTCCCTTCATTTTAAGCAGACTATAGGACTTTTTTTCATATTTTTGAGGTCAATTACTCTGAAAGTCTGACTCAGTGCAGTATATTAAATGATTTCTAAAGAATGCCCAAGGCTACTGTCAATCAAATTAGCCAGTGACTTATGAGTTGTTTACTGTACTGTGAAATGAAGTGATAATGTTTGTCAACCAGTAAAATGTGACATTTAGTATTGGATATACCCACTTGAAATAGGTTTTGCATCGGCTTTATTCGTTTCTTACCAGACTGGCACATATATTTGGCTAAGTCCTGATTATGAAAGGAGACATTATATAAAACTTTATAGAGCACTGGTAAGCAGACAGCTCAAGCCTTGAAAAGCCTTGTGTGGTCCAGTAACTGAGGTGGCATGCCACTGAGGAGTCACATTTATTTTCTTCTTGAGAGGTCATTTGATTCAAAACAAAAATTTTGGCAGAGAACTTCTGGTTCAAGTGATTCAAAAAATAGTGACCCAGAGTGAGGAAAGGATTGGGTGTTTTTTACCCCTTTTTGAGTGTTAACAAAGTTTGAAATTAAAAACCAGAGTAGGATATCATCACTCAATGTAGCATATAAGGAAGAAGCTTGTATTGCATGCTTTCTTAGACAGTGACTTACTGAAGTACACTACTGAGGTCACACTGCAGGGAAACTCTATCCTCAAGCTCTGAAAGCTTAATTAGTAATTTGTGAAAGAAAACTGGAAGTTCAAACCAAAAAAAAAAAAACTTTTATATTTTCTCTAAAGGGAGCTGGTTTGACACTCCCACCAAATGTTTTCCTAAAAATTAGATTTAAGAGCTGCAAAATTCCTTTTCACACAATACAGAAGAAAACTCACATCTTGGCATAGTCTAACTAGATGAGCACTTCTGTGAAAGCTGTTAGAAATACAGAGAAGGAAAAGCTACAGGCAGCTTCAGCTTTTTCTCAATATTTAAATTCTTGCTATAGTTCTGTAGAAAAATTTTCCGAAACACAATGATTATTTTAAAATTTGTTTCATTTTCCATGATAGATGAATGTGGTTTATTTTTGCCATATTATTATCTTATTAGAAATAGTCTTTACAATGAATGTAACTATTTAAAAAGCAAATATAAAACCAACAATTCTTAAAAATTGTAAGTATTTAAGTATTAAGGCAGCATTAAATAAGGTGTACTGACTTATAGACACAATACCAAGGAAATAATCACACAATCTTACTAAATATTTAAACTGAAGATTGAAAATCAACCATATTCTTGGGTCCAAATCAGATATCACATTATGGCTGCTTATTGGATATTTGGTCACTGAATTCAAGTGGAATATTAAGCTATGCCCTATTATATTGAAGGTATTGTGACTTCAGGGTTTTTTCCATGAAGAAGTTGTGCTGTATATTCTTTTAAGCAATGCATGCTTGTTCAAGTGTTTGAAGACTGGTTGTTAGGTTGACATAATAACTCCATTCAAACGAATATCTTCTCTAAAAGGATGAATTCCATTATTAAAGGGCTGAAAAGGGATGCAGTAAGAATCTTTTTGTCTTACCTAAAGGAAAACAGATGTGCTAGTAAGTAGATGACATATCTGGAGAGTGGTTTCAGGTTACATTTTTTGTCATTCATCCATATTTAATGCCATTTCTTTCCATAGCTTGATATCATTGTTTTAAAATCTGAAAAGATATTTTTAAAAGAACATTTATACTGTTTGCCACAAATGTGGTGCAGATCCATTTCAATTTCTATTTTGTTTCTTTCTTAGTTATGATTTGGTGCAGATGAAATTGATACTCATTCTCCGAGGGAACAGATGAACTCTCCTCGTTCTAAATGCACAAATATCTTTATGAAAGTTAAATGAAGTAAACTTAGAGGTGGTCAGGGCTAAAATCATTAAATTATAATTTTCCCTATTGCTTTGCACATGCCTTACCTTAAATTTTCTGTTCTGGGCTTTTGCATGTAACATGTCATCTGGTCCTCATGGGATAGTACCTGAGTGAGGAAATCTATTGCTGACTCAGCAGACTCCTTGAGGGGAGACTACTGATCTCCTCGCATGTGCAGATCTTCTTTGTGAGGAAGGGAGGACAAGCAAGAGCAGACAAGACTTTTTCTACTCCTAAAATAATCACTAAGGTGACATGCATGGAAATGCAGAGCAACTATTTTGTCTTTTCCAAGATTTTCCTTCCTTTGCGTCCCAGGGGAAATCTTGAATGGGCAATAGCAGCCTGCTTCCAGTTTCTTTTCAGACTTGTCCAACAATTCAAAGAAGCCAAGCACAGCAGGAAGACTCTCTTTCAATGCATTTAGCTTTTTTGAGTGGAAACAATAGAAATAAATAATGACCATCCTGGAATATAATGTACTAAAGTGATTAATTCACACTGAAAAGAAAATTTAGAATCTTTTATAAGTCTTGTTTTAAGAAAATATTACTATTCTATCTTTACTTTTTTCTTTATATAAAAATGCATAACTCTATATTTTAGGGACAGCATTTTCAATCTTTTCCAAGTGAATCTAGGCATGCATACTTTCTCAGTTCTCTAATAATCTGTGATCTTTCCTTTTTCATCTTTCCTTGGTGCAAAATCTTAGTTTTTCTAGGCCACTTCAACTGAAAAGTTAAAATCCTACACTGGACTGCCTCTGCCGGGCCAAAACATTAAAGCTAAAATACAGTTCTGTATTTTTTCAGTCCTGCACCTTGTAAAAGATGTGAAAAACATGTTTACATCACTGTCTTTACATCATTTCACAATTGCTGTTTTGAATTTTCTCATTTCCCCTTCGGTCTTGTAAGTCTGGAAATCCCCTCCAACTTATCCATCACTCTTTTTATTCTGGTCTAGTCTTGCTTTTAGGTATAGCATGAATTTCTGCCAAAGGAGTATGCTGTGAATTTTCAGGTGTCTGGCCAAAGAAGGTGCTCATTGACCCGGGTTTAAAATAAGTGGTGGCAATGCTACTGCACTCAGAGGTGCGGTTGTAATGCCAATAAATGGAAGAATTCCTAAAGCATTTGGTTTCAGTTTTTCACATCCTTTTCCTTGAAGTGAGGTTTTAGGGCTTTCTTCTTATAGCAGGCTCTGATATTTTCTCTGTGTGAAATTAAAGAAATTAGAAAATTGCATAAGAAATAATCCCAGAATCAGACAATGCAAGCATGCCTATGCATTGCAAGTGTCTGCAGGTTGCATTCAGAGGATTTAATATTGACCAAGCAGAAAATCAAAGACCTGGAAAGAGATTGCAATGGCTCCATATGTAAAATTTAATTCAAAACAACCATAAGGCTGATAAAAGGGAGGCTAGCAGAATTCCTGGCTTTCCCTCACTGGGAAAAAGGTCAACAAGCACATAGAGCTCCACCCAGCACACAAAGTCCTCGGACAAGCAATTTAGAGAAAGTCAAGGAAATCAATAGCTAAACTCCCCTTGTTTTCAGCAGGGCAGGATTTCACCTACCAGGTCTGAAACACAAGCAACTCACTGCAGCAAGGGGATCTGAGGTAGTAGGGCTGGCAATAAATGCAGCAGAGTAACATTCTCATTGCAAAGGACACAACAGATCATGCATCTTTCCAGTTCCAAGACCATTCACATGGCTGAACTGTACTGCTGTGCTCCATATTTTGAAGTGTGTTGACACACTAAAAATTATGCATAACTTAAAGATCCATGTGTTCCATCAAAAGACACCTTTAGTAACCCAGTTCACTGCTTGCTTTTCAGCATGTTCCAACTGCAGGCAGCAAAACAGAGATTCAGCACTCTGGCAGACCCTTGTTGTGACATTGCCTTACTGCTGTAGGCTGTACTCTCAATAAACATCACAGCAAACAGTTCTCAAATGTAATCAGATATTATACTTCCTTTGGGATATCAGCATGAATTTTCTTACCTCTTAAAAAAGAATCCGCTTTCAATATCATGTCCATGTAAACTTCAGGCATAGCCTTTTTTCTTCCTTGGCCACTACTCCTGCATTGGTAATTCATACCTTCTGTGACACAAAACTATAAAAGATATTGTATTTCTCCCCTCACCTGGGCTCAGGAGCAGACACCATTTTAAATCACTTCTGGTTTGCTCATGCTTTTTTGGCAATATTTGCCAACTTGCTTAATAGTTTATACTGAAGTACTGATGTCAACGGCACACTCACCCTGCTACAGTGCAGCTTACACTTACTGCTCAGGGTCAGCTGTAGATAGCAGTGCTCTCACCTTGGAATGCTTCTGAATTCCTCTAGGTTACTGTGCTAGAACTTGTACTCTTTGACAAACATGTTCCACCGCTTGCTCTTTTCTCCTCTTTTTATGTTTTTCCAGCGTTATATTCATGATATCACTTTCTATCACACAGTTATTATATATGTGTTCATCCATTCTCTGCATGACATATGACATGAAGTATCATCAAGAGAAAATTATGAGTCTACTTAATTTTTTACAATAAATATCAACACAATTGTAAACCTGACTTTTCATGGTAAGTCTTCTACTATGATAACCAGTTAAGGTGAACAAGAACCTGTTTAAGGAGAGTAGTGGAAAGATGCTTGAGATGCATAGCTATCATGTAGCCTGTGCATAGCAATGGTTTGTGTAGGCAACTGGCCGTATGACTGTGAGAAAACAGGTTATTTTTCCTCCTTTTTGGAAGGTTACAGAGATGTGAAGAACTGGGGAGGAGCTGGTTGCAAAAGTATACAAAGAAATTTCCTGGGAAGCTGCAGTAAATCAAACAGGAGCTAGCAAATATAGATCATGGTTGAAATATTTAATCTGCCGTTTACAATCATAGTTGCCATGTTTGCAGATGCAGTTATAAAGATTACATGGCAGTGGGAAGAAAAGCCACATAAATTTGACTACTTTCCTAAGGACTGTATTGAGGATTCACACTCTAAATATTTTCAAATAGCAAGCTAAAAAAGTGAAACAAATCTGAATAAAGGAACATAGGTGAGTGTTGCTTTGATATCTTCTCTGAAATTGTTGTAATAGTGATGATGTGGTAATTTTTTTTTCCTATTTAAGCAAAATTGTTTGTATACTACTGGAACTGTTAGTCAAGTATATGCCAAACTGTGTGTTAATTAGTATAATCTCTTCTCTAATTAGTACTGCTAATTTGGTTTTTTTTTCCTTTATTAGCACTTACAAAGAGCTAGTGAAATTATTCTCTCTCCGAGAGACACTCCCCCTGCTGTGGTTAATAGTTTGTGTTAAAATTCATCTTCATCCAGAACTCAGGCTTCAGGTTTAAGGCCGTTTTGAGGCTTTCACTTAAACACACTGGAGAGAAATCTCTACCTGCTAATAGTTTAGGACACAAGTTTTTAATCAAATATATGTATTTTTTTAAGGTGTGATGAATTACATACTAAAGCAAGAGTGTTGGTTAGGTTTCTATTGACTATATAGAAAGACTACATCACCTAGCCCTGATTAAAATTTCTATATTCAATATAACATGAAGCAAGAAGTAATAACTAATTTCCAGATGGATAAAATTACATAAAATCGATTACAGCTGGTATATTATCCAGATAAATGGATAAAACTGGTAAAAAAGATTCACATTTTCCCATCTGAATCAATTATCTATTATCAATTTTCTGAACAGTTAGTTCTGTTTCTCTTCTGGAAAGTATGCAAGCAAAATACTAAAGTAATTCAAATTCAACACTATGAGTCTTGTATTCCTTCCAGAAACTTTTTTGCAGAGCAAGTGTTAATGCAATTCCCAGCTGCACAAGTCCATCCACACCATTATTATTATTCTTTTTTTTTGGTGTCACATTTAAGTAAACAAGATTCCTGAAAAGACCTGTACATATTTCTTTTTTCTGCTAGAAACAAAATCATCAGTGCAAAGTTTCTTGCCGTGAAGTCTACACAACGTTTTCTACAGCTTTTCTGAAGCTTTTTGGATGAAGAATGCAATAAGAAATCCACCCTCAAAATGCTTAAGGTAAAATAAAACATGAATTGTTAACTAATGTCATAGAGAATTTTCTAATGACCCGTATTACTTGCCCTTCAAAGAACATTACCCAATACAACATATTTTTTTTATCTAAAGCATTAGCAGTGATTTGTTAAAACAAAAAGTTTAGACATCTACTTAGACATAATTTAGATACCTTTAAAACTCCATTAGATATGTTTATTGCCAAAATTTAAATAGCATCCTTTTAGTTCTTCTCCATTGCTTTAAAAATGGCAAATGTACAAATGTCTAGCAATGCTAATTAACCCTCTAGTTTGTCAGTCTTCTGAGGCAAAAGTTTGATACCAGTGTGGTCTATTGACCACTAATGTTATACACTAGCAAGTCTCCACTAAAATGGCAAAAAAAAAAAAAAAAAAAAAAAAAAAAAAAAAAAAAAAAAAAAAAAAAAAAAAAAAAAAATTAGGAGAAATAAATAGAAAGAAATATGTTGTGATGGAGTCTGCAGACTAAAAATGTATCATGAAATCCCAGAAATTTTTAAGACTTCTGTCATATCTACCTAAAAGCTGATATTTCTCAGGCAAAATACCATAATAAAAAAAGAAATTAAGATTTAATCTTACACTGAACCTTATCAAATAATAGTTTTAGAACTTTTTATAGTGAATAGTTGTTCAATACAAATGTTTGAATTTTTTTTAGTAATACATCTCACAGCTCAGAATGACCAGATATATAAGACTGTAGGAACCAAGAGAAGTCTTGATTTATTTGAGAAATAGAAATAGGTTTGTTGGGTTTTAATTAATAAAAACCAACATCACCAAAAATAGCAGTCTGGGAAACTGAAATACAAGCAAGCAAATCATAGGAACTAAACAAAATCAGTCTATCATGTCTACTTGCACTAAACTAGATCTATATGTCAGAAATCTTCAAAGATTTATGATTTCAGTCTCTTTCAGGTAAGATTTACAATCCTAACAACCTACATGTTCATGTACTAGGAAAGATGAAAATAAAATGGGTTGCTAAAATACATGAATATATGCCATGTAAAAAG